TAATGTTCTGTCTTGGTTAGCCAGGAAAGTTTACTTCATATAAACAGAATGTTGCATTTAGGTTTAGAGAATGTTCCTCTGATGTTCTCCTGAAGTTCTTTTAACATCTATCTGATTTCTTTTCGCGTCAAGTTATCTACAAACACTTTGATTCCTTTGAACACTTTTGCATAAAAAGTGAATTGTTCACAAATCAGACCTCACATTCCAGTAAAAAAAAAACCACCATGAAATCGATTATGACGTTGAGATGACCGGACGTTTGGGCGGGACATATCGATGGGATTGTCTAGCATGTTTTAATGAAATTTAATTTGAATGACTCCCATTTGAAACAGTTTAGATTCAGTATAAGGGACTCTGCTATTTCTGAGGCATTTTCTAGGTTTCCAGTAATACAGATGAGAGCCGGACAGGTCAGCTGCTCTCCGGTTGCTACGGCAGCGCACGTTTCTTACGGCAGTCGCCGCGGGAACATTCATCTCTGTCAGAACCCCCGCGCGCTCTTAATACCTCCGAAAATCCCCTGCCTCTGGTTCTCTGGCTTTCTCACACGGCCCTTTTCCACCTTTCCGCTCATTTGCATGCGTCGCGCTCACGCCTATCTTTGTTCTCGTGTTTCTCCAACGCTTTTAACATAGGTTAGTAATTAATAAGGGCCACCTAATTAAGATCCACTCGAGAAGCGGCGTACCTTGACCGTGCGAGACACGTTACACGAGACACGTTTAGCGGCCTCCGCGGACTATGACCGAAATTAATATCTTGGCCAAACTCACGTCTCTCACATCAACCGCATGTTTATTAGCGATATAATGTGCATCTCATGCCAGCGATGTGTGTAATAGGCACACGATGCCACGGGCGTCATAATCGTTAGAGACGTTTGGGTTTGGACACCTGTGGACCACTCGTTTAGCTCAACGAGAAAGACGGGGAGAGAGAGAGACGGAAAAGACGGTTTAATTTTGCGCCGCAGCCAGCCGAGCTATCCCACAATCCCCTTCTGTTAATTCTGTCTGCTACATCAATTAAATTGTTTGTAGAAACTAATTGAATATGGCTTAATCACACATCTTAATAGCTTTCTGCGCCTCAAACTGGCTGTTAATTCCAGCAATAAAATGGAATGAGAGCGCTCACTGGGTAATTAGTACTGAGGCTTTTGAAGAAATTAGTGCTTTATGGGGCGCAATAAAAGTGAAGAGGAGTTGGCGGGAGACTTCCGAGGCCGAAATCTCTGCTCGCCTCTTTTGTGCTGAGCAGGGTGATTTGCACCTCGGCTTAGCCCATTTGCGCTTTGCAAACTCCCATGAAAATGGAATAGCCCGATTTAAATGGGAACACAGTCTGAGCACAGTCATTAATGCTAATTTTGCTAATCTGCGGCAGCGTGGAAGCAGGTGAAATAGATTGTGTAGGCCTGGTGCTGTTTTGATTGTCCAAAGCCACTGTGTTTGTTTTACAAGACCTCTAAAAAGTTTCTTAGAAAGGTTATAGATGCGCTGCATCGGTGCGTTGTTTGTTCATGTAAACTTTAGTTAAAATCGGTGGCGTGTTTCATTTGATGCAAATGAAAAGGAAGCAGTGAATGATAAAAGTTGATTTAGAAACAATTTTCACTCAGAAATTGCTAGTAAATTTCACAAATGATTACAAAAAAAAGGCATATTAAGTAACACATTGACAATTAACAATTAAATGAACTTTTGAAGTAGAAAGTATTTTAGAAAATCGTAAAATAGGAATTTTCTTGTAAAACGTAATCCAATAATCTTCGAAAAATATCTCAATAAAGTCTACTGTTGAGTGTAATTCATTTTCAAAATATTGAAAATATGTCTTAAGTTCACAAAAAAAATTATACTAGAAATATTACAATATACTTAAAATCTAGAACTGAAATACTTGAATTTTAGAATAGACTTAAATACTAGAAAATATCAATTGGCGTTACTGGAACAATACTGGAACTAAGTGATTTTTATGACAATTGTTGGTTCAGGTACGCTGTAAAAAATGATTTTTCAATTATTGGAGTACTTTTACAAGAAAATGCTATTTAATTTTTTCTAAATGTAATGCTTAATTCAATGTTACTTGCCATTTCTTGAAATTTGCTGGCAATTTCTACACCAGTTTTTTTTCAGAGTAATGTGCATTCATCCAAAATTGTTTTACTAAAATAGTCTTGTTCCTACTCATTAAGAAAACTAATTGAATTGGAACTTGAAATGTTTCATTTTGGAACATTTTTTACATCTTTTACAGCCTCATTCTCGTTCACAGTGTGTCAAACATGTTTACATTTTTCCCGGCCTAGATCTAAAACTACACAATGTCATGTTTCATTTTTCAGGACTACATGCAGAACGTCCACGGTAAAGAAATTGATTTGCTGCGGACGACAGTAAAGGTACCCGGGAAGAGGCCGCCCAGAGCAGTGGCAACGGTCGCCCCTACAGCCAGCCCCAAAACCAACGGACTGACCAAAGACCGCAGCACTTTACAACTCGGCATCGGGGCCACAAGTGAGTTTGAACTCTGGCAGTGATATTATGCCTTAAAATTGATGATTTGGTAACACTTTACAATAAGATTAATTAGTTAACAGTAGTTAACTACTTTTGTTAACATGAACTAAGCATGAACATGTTAATTCCAGCATTTACTAATGCATTATTAAAATCTAAAGTTGTGCTTGTTAACATTAGTTAATGCACTGTGAATTAACATGAACTAGCAATGAACAGCTGTTTCATTAAAGGGGTCATATGATGTTGCTAAAAAGAACATTATTTTGTGTATTTGGTGTAATGAAATGTGTTTATGCTGTTTAAAGTCAAAAAAACACATTATTTTCCACATACTGTACATTATTGTTTCTCCTCTATGCCCCGC